TGTGAAGCACTGGAACAAAGTGCCCAGGGTGTCCCCATCCCTGGCGGTGCTCAAAGTGTGGCTGTGGCCYCTGGGGACAGGGCTCAGTGATCCTTTAGAGGTTTTTCCCAACCTCAATTATTCCCCGATTCCCAACCCATCCCAGCTTTGTCCCTCCCAGCCAGCAGTGTCACCAGCAGTGTCACCAGTGTCACCAAACCCATGAACAGCCAGGGATGTGCTCAAACCTCAGGGCTGGAGGCCCTGAACACATCCTGAGCCAATTCCCTGTGGAATGACACAGCCCCAGCTCCCCCAGAGCTCCCCAGCTCTGCCCCTTTCACAATTTGCCCCAGAGCCCCTGCCCTGGCTCCAGTGCCAAAYCCACATGGATTAATGACCCCTAAAGGTCYCTTYCAACCCAAAACTTCTCTGATTTTGTGACAAAGCCTCTCCAAAGCCCCTCAGCCATCCCCAGCTGAGCAGAACCTACCCCTGGTCCCCCTGGCAGGACCCTGAGCTGGCCCAGCCAAGGTTTTGGTGTCGTAGAACAGCTCTGAGCATCACAAAGATGAAACCAGGATTTATTGGGAATGTTCACTGYACAAGAGAGAAATGGCTTCAGGTGGCTCTCGAGGAGCCTGGACCCAGCTCTCATTGAAACACAACAAGCAAAGGCATCAGAGTGAAAAATGAACAATTGTCAATAAATCACCAGCAGTTGATGCAGATTTTCAAGTTTCTGCCAAGTACCAACTTCCCTCCCTAAATCCCACCCCAAGTCCCACAATGGATCTGAGTCCCTGGGCCCAGCCTGGCCCTGGGAACTCTTCACAGCTTTTTTTGTACATTCAGGTAAGAAATGTCATTGGTGCTGAAGGTTTAAATCAGTGTTGGGCTCACCCAACTGCTCCCTGGCACAGCGAATAAACCCCATTTCCAGTGCAGTGACACTGCAGGGTGGCAGCTCCACCTGGGGAAGGTGGCACAGGAGGCACCGAGCCCTGCAAGGCACAGGTGACAGACACCACAGGCAGTGGCAGGCCCAGCTGAGAACTCAGCTCTGGATTGTAAAAAYGCCAGCTGGGCAGGATTAAAATGCACTTTGGGGTCATGCAAGGACACAGATTCCCTAAAGCAGCAGCTCTGGGGTGCTCCTGCTCTTAATCCCTYGCTGCTGCTGCTTCCCCTGGAGCTGCCATCTGTCTGCAGCCCTCCAGCACTCAGCTCCCTCCCTGCTGCCCCTCGGCTGATTTGGGGAATTTCTGGGGCCAGCCTGGACTGATTCAAGGGAAAGGGAGTGGCTGAGGAGGGAAAAGGGAGAAATCTCGGCGTTTGGATTGAAATTAAAGCAGTGACAGACAGGTGTGACTCTCCTGGAGCTCAGCTGCAGGAGGTGAGAGGGAACACCAGGACACCAAAGGCTGCAGCGTGGGCTCTGTTTGGGCATTAATCCCCAGCCCAAAATTCCCTTCAATGCCAGCTCAGAGGCTGCTGCACCCCCTCCCTGGGCTGGGCAGCTGGAGGGCAATGCCCAGAGCTCCCAAAGCTCAGGCCAAGCCCCTGCCCTGCCCTGTCCCAGCCCCGTTCCTGCTGCCAGGGGCACCTGAGCCCTTCCCTGGGGCTTTTCCTGGGCTGGCTCCAGGACAGCTGCTCTGGCACTCAGGGATCCGGCTCAGCTGCAGCCCTGGCTGTGGGCAGTGCCCTCCAGCCCTCCTTTCTGGGTGCTTTTCCTCGGTGCAGCCGGAGCCACACTGATCCTGTTGGTCCCTAACCCTTATCTGCTCCTTGCAGGAGCTCCAGGGCGGGCAGCCCCTGCTCCCTGGCAGCTCCCTGTGACCTTGGCAGCTTTTTGGTCGGTCCCTTTGGATGAAGGGGRCATAGAGAGGGGAGAAAAGCTGCAGCAGTGGCTCAGGGAATGGAGGTTAATGCCCGGCTGAGCCTGTCCTGCAGCTCCAAAGGGAGCAGCTCCATCTGCCTCTGCTCCCTGGGAGGCTGCAGCACTGCAGAGCTCTGTGATCTCTCCCTGACTTTGTCCCCTGGGATGTTCCYTGTGTTCTCAGCTTTGTCCCTTGGGATGTTCTCTGTGTTCTCAGCTTTGTTCCCTGTGTTCTCAGCTTTATTCCCTGGATGTTACCTGTGTTCTCAGTTTTTTCTCTGGGATGTTCCCTGTGTTCTCAGCTTTGTTCCCTGTGTTCTCAGCTTTGTTCCCTGGATGTTCCCTGTGTTCTCAGCTTTGTTCCCTGGATGTTCCCTCTGTTCTCAGCTACAATTTTCAGGGCTGAGCTTCATCCAAGCCCCAGGAACTGCAGCAGCTGCCCAGGAGAGGGGAGAGAACACCCCAAAAAGCAGAAGCTGCACAGAGCTGGCCCCTGGCACAGGGATGCCCCTCTCCATGAGTGCAGCTGTGGCTGAGCTGGAGGAAYTCCCCACGAGCAGGAGAGGCAGGAAGGGGTTAACCCTGGAGCCCAGAAATGCCTCGGTCACATCCGGGGTGGCTTCCGGAGGAGCCTGAGCCACTCAGCTCCCCCAGGACAGGGACAGGGACAAGCAGGGCATGGGCTGGAGCTGGCTCAGGGTGGCCCCAGCAGGTGCTGGGAGCTCTGTCAGTCCCTCTGCTGCTCCCTCTGTAGCACCCACGGAGCAGCTCAGCCTCCCCAGCCCAGGGGAACTGGGAATGTGCAAAGAATTTCCTTAAAAAAAWTWWAAAAAATCATACAAAACCATTTGGGTAATAAATAAAAAAGTCACGTGGTCACTGTGGGGAGCTGCTGTCCTTCCAGGGGTGGGGTGAGCAGGGGGCAGCTCAGGCCAGGTGAGGGTCACTGGTCAGTGCCTGGGTGCTCCCAGCTGGAAACGAGCTTCCTCCGAGATTCCATACTGCTCCAGGGGATCCTGCAGGGGACAGGGCACAGCAGTGAGACATCAGTGAGAGGCTGAGAGAGCCCAGCAGCCCTGGGGACACACGGGACACAGGAGGGACAGACAGGACACAGCTGGGACACAGCAGGGACAGACAGGACAGCAGGGACACACAGGAACACAGCTGGGACACACAGGAACACAGCAGGGACAGACAGGACAGCAGGGACACACAGGAAAACAGCTGGGACACACAGGACAGCAGGGACACACAGGAACACAGCTGGGACACAGTAGGGGACACACATGGGACACCAGGGACACAGCAGGGACACACACAGGACACACATGACGCAGCAGGGACACAGCAGGGACAGACACAGGACAGCAGGGACATACACAGGACACACATGACACAGCAGGGACACAGCAGGACATAGCAGGGACCCACGGCCCAGGGCAGCCACAGCCACTCCCTGCCCTGGAGCCCATGGATCTGCCCAGGGCTGGTGCTGAACTGCCCCAGAGACCCCCAGGGAGCCCAGAGCAGCTCCAGACCTGTCCAGCCCCACCCTGGACACTCCAGCACTGCACTGTGGGCACCAGGGTGGGACTGAGCACCCAGGGGAAGGTGCTGGGGTCTGGCTGTGGCTCTCTTTGGGATCTGGGATCTGCTCCCCACACACACAGAGCTGGGGCAGGGCTGGCAGCTGCTGCCACCCAAACCCAGCAGCACCCAGCAGTGCCTGCAGGGCCACCCTCACCTTCCCCGTCATCTTCTGGATCTCGTTGCGGTAGAAGATCAGGCTCCTCCTCAGGAACTCGTAGCTGCAGGATAGAACAGAGCAGAGCTGAGCACTGAGGGACGTGGGCAGATTTGGGTGCTATCCAGAGCTGGGGGAGCTCCCTGGGAGGAGACAACCATTGCCCTGCCAGTCCTGTTCCCAGAGCCCCCAGACCCACCCTGGCTCCACTGCCTTATCCCACCTGGCTCTCTTGAGGGCCTCCACCCACTCCTGGCACTGCTCCTCCGTGGCACACTCGAAGCAATATTTCCTCTCTGGCTCCTCGATGAAACCTGCCAGGGACAAGGAAAAGGCTCAAGGTCCAGGCAGAGCTGCTGGGACTCCCTCCCCAGGCTCTGCCAGGTCTCAATTAGCAGCTCTGTTAATTAATGTGAACTGGGAATGAGTCTGTAAGCCCGACCTCCAGCCCCTCTCCTGTTTCCTGGGTGCCCTGGAGCAGCTGGCCACGGCATTTCCCAGCTGACAGGGACCAAAGACCTCGGAAACAGCAACTTCCCAAACTGAGGGTGAACTGAACTGGGCCAACACAGCCAGAGCCAGGCCTGAGTCTCTGTAAAGTCACCAGGGATTGAAATCAACGGGGACACAGCCCTGAGGAAGGGATTGGGATGCAGCTGAGGAGTTCAACTGCACTGGGAGGAGGCCCTGAGCTCCTTTGCTGGAAGCTTTTGGGAATGTGGCACTTTCACCACGGAGAGCAGCTCCTGGTGCCACTGCAGGTCCTGACCAATTCCTGTCCCCAGAGCTCTGCTCGGGGCTGCTGCTGCCAAACACTGGGGTCAGGCTGCACATCCCATTAAACACACCCCACTGGGTTTAACCCTCACTCCAGAGCTCCCAACATCCCCAAAACACAGCATGCAGAGCTGCAGGATTGGCCCTTGGGACGCAGGGAGAGCACAGCAGCAGAGCCACAGCTGTGCCTGGCAGCCAGGCCAAAAGATACGGGGATGRCCTTGGAGAAACATCCTGTTATTGTCCCACAGAGCTGCGGGATGAAAGCAGGGGAGCTCCCAGGGGAGCCAGCCCAGCTGGAGCCGCCACAAGGACAAACACGGGGGAGGACGGCGCTGCTGCAGCTTGATCTGAGCTTTTTTTTTTTTTTGGATAAAATGCAGCAGCACAGCAGAGATCTGTCAGTAAAACAACCCCCTCGCCCCCTGAGGGATTCCACAGGCACCCAGCAGGGTCTGGCTGCTGCTGTTTGTGCTGCCCTGCACGTGCAGCTGTGCCAATGGCAGAGGCTGTGCCCTGGAGCATCCCTGGAATCCCCTCGGATGGGGCACAGGTGAGGAGCAGCTGGCAGCGAGGAGGGGAAAGGATGAGGGATTGTTAAAGTTGGAAAAGACCTTGGAGATCATCAAATCCAACCATCAGCCTGTCAGTGCTCAGCCCTGTCCCCAGGTGTCACATCCACCCTTTTCTGAATGTCCCAGGACTCCACCAAACCTGTGCTTCCAAACCTTTTTGGGGAATGAATTTCACCCAATATCCAACCTAAACCTGCCCTGGCACAACTTGAGGCCATTTCCTCTTGTCCTGTCCCTTGTTTCCTGGGAGCAGAGCCTGACCCACCCCTGAGGGGTCCTGACCCCACTGGGGGACAGGAGAAGGGCTGGGGGCAGTGACCCCAGTGAGCAGGGGAAGGGATGGGGGCAGCGACCCCAATGAGGAGGGAAGGGCTGAACTGACCCCAATGATGAGGAAAGGGGTGAACTGACCCCGAGGAGCAGTGAAAGGCTGAGCTGACCCCAATGATGAGGGAAGGGCTGAGCTGACCCCACAGAGGAGGGGAAGGGCTGAGCTGACCCCAATGATGCGGAAAGGGCTGAGCTGACCCCGCTGAACAATGAAGGGCTGAGCTGACCCCACTGCCCCCACAGAAACAGGGAAGGAGGAACTGAGCAGCACAAGGTTCCCTTTCCCCTGTGCCAYGAGGGGAAGGCTCAGGGGTGCCCAGGCAACACTCACTGATGGAGAAGACGTTCTCCTCCTCTTTGGTGATCCTGCAGTGCTCCAGCAGCAGAGCTCCAATGGGCTGCAAAACACAGGGACAGAGAGAGGGGGTTTAACCCAAAGGGCCCCAACACCACAGGGGCTGAACCCTCTGCCCTTCCCTTTGAAGCAAATTTCACAGYCTGGTGCTATTTTTAAACAATTCAATCTGACTGCACCATGTTCTGAATTCCTGAAATCAACCTTTTCATGCCAGTCTCACCTGTAGCACTTGCATTTGTTAATTAGTGTTAATCACTGGCTCAGATTCAGCCTGGCCTTTACCGCTCATTGCCATGAGGGCAGTGAAGAACTTTCACTTTTTAAATCAAATAAAGATAAAAYGTTTACTGTGACACCCAGAGTGACTCATGTTAAGCTGCAGTGAGCTGGAGCAGCTTGGGGTGAACAAAAAACCATCAGGTGCCACTCAAGGATGTGGGGACAGCAGGTGACACTGGCTGTGAACAAGAGCAGCCACCAGCAATCCTTGTCCAAGTGACACAACGTGCAAGAGGTAAATCAGGCAGCAGGGAWGGGACTGAAAACCTGATTTATTTCACATTTCATGAAGTGGGTTGGGTTGGAAGCAAGATTAAAGCCCATCCAGTGCCACCCCTGCCATGGCTGGGACACCTCCCACTGTCCCAGGCTGCTCCCAGCCCCAATGTCCAGCCTGGCCTTGGGCACTGCCAGGGATCCAGGGGCAGCCACAGCTGCTCTGGGCACCCTGTGCCAGGGCCTCCCCACCCTCCCAGGGAACAATTCCTTCCCAATATCCCATCCATCCCTGCCCTCTGGCACTGGGAAGCCATTCCCTGTGTCCTGTCCCTCCAGCCCTTGKCCCCAGTCCCTCTCCAGCTCTCCTGAGCTGATGGAATGAAGATGGACTCTCTGTCCCCACTCTTCCCCTGCAACGTTTTCCCAGCCCACGCAATCCACGCACAGAAAAAACAAGGAAGAAGAAACAAAACAAACCCCACCCACGAGGCCTTTCCCTACCTCGGCCTCATCTGTCCGGAAGTAGAARAGAAAGTTCACCACGAGCTTCACCAGGCGCTTCTTGAGCACTGCAGGGACAGRAGGGGTCAGTGAGGGCAGAGGGAGCACAGGGAACACCCTGCCATGGCCTAGCACTGCCCTCATCCCACCAGAGCACCCTGCACCCACTCGAGGCTGTGCCCCAAAACAGCTGCCTCAGGGTGACAAAGTGAGTGGCCTCAGGGTGACAAAGGGAATGGCCTCAGAGTGACAGAAATGGCCTCAGGGTGACAGAACCCCTGAGCAGCCTCAGGGTGACAAAGTGAATGACCTCGGGGTGACAATGTGTCTGAGAGGCCTCAGGGCGACAAAAGGAATGGCCTCAGGGTGACAAAGTGAAAGGCCTCAGGGTGACAAAAATGTCTGAGAACCCTCAGGGTGACCAAACTCCTGAGCAGCCTCAGGGTGACAAAACCCCTCATTAGCCTTAGGGTAACAAAGTGTCTGAGTGACCTCAGGGTGACAAAGTGAGTGGTCTCAAGGCGACAAAGCCCAAGAGCAGCCTCAGGGTGACAAAACCCCAGAGTGGCCTCAGGGTGACAAAGCCCCTGAGCAGCCTCAGGGTGACAAAACCCCAGAGCAGCCTCAGGGTGATGGAGTGGCCTCAGCGTGACAAAAATATCTGAGCACCTTCAGGGTGACCAAACTCCTGAGTGGCCTCAGGGTGAAAAAGCCCCTGAGTGGCCTCAGGGTGACAAAACCCCTCATAAGCCTTAGAGTAACAAAGTGTCTGTGTGACTTCAGGGTGACAAAGTGAGTGGCCTGAGGGCGACAAAGTGTCTGAGCACCCTCAGGGGAACAAAGCATCTGAGGGGCCTCAGGGTGACAAAAATGTCTGAGAACCCTCAGGGAGACAAAATCCCTGAGCAGTATTAGGGTGACAAAGTGAGTGGCCTGAGGGTGGCAGAGCCCCTGAGGGTGACAGTGCCCCTGAGCAGCTCCTCCAGCAGCTCTGGGGCAGTCAGAGCCCACAAGAGCAGCACCAGCAGGGTCTCAGGCACTCCAGGCAAAGCTGCAGCTCCCAGGAGYGCCTGCCTGGAGCTGTCAGTGCAGRTGTCACCTCTGAGGGACAAAGTCCTCGGGGAAGGAAAGGGCTGGGACAAGGGAGTGACTCCAGCGCTGTTTGCAAAAGGATTTACTGGAAGGTTCCAGGGAAGAGCTTCTTCCCCAGACCCCCTGGTCCCCTGTGGGCTCTCCCCAGCTCCAGCCCAGCCCCACTCCCAGTCCAGATCCCAACACCAGTGCTCCCCATTCCCCCTCTCCTGTCTGTCCCCAGCACTCCCAGTCCTACCCACCCTGTCTGCTCAGTGCTCCCAGTCCTGCTCCGGTCCTGGTCCAGTTTCCCAGCCTGGATTCTTCAGTATCCTAAATCCTCCCATCCATGTCGCTCAGTTCCCCCAGTCCCTCTCCAGCCTTGTCCCCCAGTAACTCCAGTGCTGATTCTCCAGATGGGGTCCCTGTGGTGCCCCTGGTCCTGCTCCTCCCAATTCTCTCAGTTCTCCCAGTCCTGCTCTGCTCTGCAGTTTCCCCCTTGTGATTCTCCAGGATCCTCAGTCCTGAACCCCAAACCACCCCAGTACCCCTGGTTCTTCCCTGGTCCTACTCCCCGTTTCCCACTTGTGATTCTCCAGTTCCCCCAGTCCCACCACCCCAGGCTGCCCAGTTTTCCCAGTCCCTCTTCACCCAGTACTCCCAATCTTTCCCTAGTCCTTTCCCACTTTCCCAGCCCAGATTCTCCAGTACTACCAGTCCTCCCACTGAGGTCACCCAGTTCTCCCAGTCCCTCTCTAGTAACTCCAGCCCTTATTCCCCCCTCAGGGTCCTGCCCCAGTAACCTGGGGGGTTAAATAAAGGGCTGGCCCTTAAATAAGGGCTGGCCCTTATTCTCCACTCGGAGTCCCTCAGGGTCCTGCCCCTCTCCGATCCTCCCAGCACTCCCAGTTCTGCTCTGGCTCTAACCCAGTAACCCCACCCCTGATTCTCCCCTCAGAGTCCCTCAG